CTTCCACCTTCCCAAAATTGAAGGAATCGTGGGCATCTGTCTGTGACTCAAATGAAAGGGTGGGAAGAACTGCTATGATTTGGTTGAAGAGACATAATGTAGAGTTCTTTCATGATAGCTTTAAGAAGCTTATCCATTCATTGGCAGAAATGTGTAGCAAAAGGTGGTGATTATGAGGAAAAGTAAATAAAAGTAACAAAAGAGCTCATTTCTAGGATGATTTCCTGTTTCATTTATTAAAATATAAATTGGAAATCATCTTGCACAGTCTATGTAGAAATGAACAGCTCGAAGTTATTGAGTCTTTCATATTACTACGCTTGAGCGGAAGGAAAAAATAAAAGGTAAACTTTCTATTCTTTATTTTTATATCTATATAACTTTTATTAAAAGTTTTACAAAAAACATAAAACACAAACTAATAAATAATAGAAGCAAAGAAGGAAAGAGAGAAGAAGAAAAACTGCAGAGAAAAAGAATACAAATAGAAGCTTCCCATTTTCTTTGCAGCAAACGTAAATACAATTACAAAATTATTTCTTACTCTATGATTACAAAAAATGCCCACTTCTTTCTATTATCCAATTTTTTTCTATTCGTCAAAACCACAAATCATAAGTGCATTTTTTCCATTTCATGCCAAAAGTCTATAAGGGGTTTCCAGTCAGCCATAAATATAGATATTGTTTTTTCTCTGTTCAAAGAAGTCAATTTAGTCATCTCCGCATGTTCCATCATCTTCGCCAACCATTCCTTCACTGTGGGTAGTATCGAACCTGGAAAAAATAAAAGGTAAACTTCCATGACTTCCAGAAGACATCCATACAATTTTGTTGGCAACAAGATGGAAGTCACTTGCCATTCCCTTCTGGGATATTTTTTGTCTTCCCAGCCTAGCTTACAGCAGTAGTATTTCCTGGTGATTTCCAAGTATTAATCATTCCACTAAACTCACCTAGCTTACTAATGGTCATCATCATTGTCGTTGTCGTCGTCATCATCATCATCATCATCATCATCATCATCATCATCATCATCATCGCACATCCTTATTACTAACCTTCTAACCATATCCTAGTTGCCCTTGAGAGATCCATTGTTGAACACACAGAAGACATTTGACACAATCGTACAGTATCTTGGTGGCCAGAATTTTTTTAGCTTTTAATTCTTTCCTTTTGCACAGAAGCAGCAATGCCTAAATTCAAGGAATGAATTAGGTTTTCTCCTGGTTTCGATGAAAGAATAGCCTTTAAAAAAAAAAGAAACTGTGTGTGTGTCTAACTTAGGGGTGACTCACATGTAAAATATTTCATTTGTTTAATTGCACAGCAGAGTAAACAGACCTAGAATTCCACATGCCTCCAGGCAGACTAAGTTGAAGCTTTGGACTTTGCTAGCTGGCTTTTACTTCTCTGTCTGGTTTACCATCCTTACGTGTGGATTGCTGAAATTGCCTCTGTATCGGCCTTGAGTGAAAACATTCCCTACTTTGAAAAATGGTAAAATATAGAAACAGAAACATTGTGAAGGAGGCACTAGATTCTTCAGGTGTCACCTTAATCCGAGCTGTTTGGCCATTTTAAAAATCCCAGCTAACCACCGTTAACACAAACAAGGGTGGGGAGAAGGAAAAGAAAGGAGCACGCTATTATAACATCACATTGATCCCTAAATTGGCCTCACTTCCAAAAGACTTCCCAGGGCAATTACATATTAAACATAACAAGGTGCCTGACCTATGTCACCTCTCAACCACAGAGGAGATTTCTTGTTTTTATGAATAAGGCCCTTTGAAGGGCCACTTACAAAGTGTCTCTCTCCTATCCCGAACAGCAGCACTTTTGTTGGATCAAGCTCAGATTACAGCATTAATACTTCGAGGTCCTGTCTTTTGAAAATTTAGAACACTAGAACTTTCTAGACCAGATCTTTGTTCTAGGCCTCTTCTGGTAAAATTAGATTTGGGTTTGGGTTTGGGTTTTTGTTTTGTTTTTGTTTTGTTTGCAATTCATTTATTGTCTAGGAAACTCTAGGATCACTTTTGGGTCCAGTGAAAAGGGTCAACGTTCAATATCCCATAGAATCCCCAACAGAAATTATTGCCTTATTTACTAATAAGAAGCTCATTCCCCAAGTGCTAATCTTTATATACCAAGAATACCACCATCCACATAAACAGAAGATCAGTATTTTATTTTATTTTAGTTTATTTTAAAAGACGTGTATAGCCACCTATATTATAACCACCACCCTGGGCAGCACACAAAATAGTAAAAACAACAGAACAAAACAACAGGGTGGGAGTCCCCGAAATTAGGGCTGAATATGCTTAGTACTTGAGGAACACTGAACACTTGTTAGGCATGGGGAACAGAGTCCAACAGGAGGCCTGGTAGTTTGGCTGGCATACTAATGGGGAGGGAGGGTAATCCTTGCTGCAATATTTTGTGGCAATTGTTAATGGTCGGTCTATCACTATTTATTAAGGAACCTACACTATTAAACTCATCTATGTTGGAATGAATTTCATTGAATGAGCATTTGGGCTGAACATGTATGGGTTTGCTTGGTAAGCAAGGAAGAACATTAATTTTGGTAATGGAGTTACAAATGCTGAATAACTGTTTTAAGATTTGGACAAGAGAGAATAAAAGAAGTCATCAAAGGTCAACAGATCAAGTTATCAACTGCATCTTTTTGTTAAAGAAATACAAACAAAGAGCCTATGGCAGTGCTAAGATGTGACTAACTGGTTTACTGAATTAATCCAATTGTCTGTATTTGTGCATAACCTGACTCAGATGAAACACAGTGCCTAAGTTCATACAACACATTGGGCCAATCACATTTAGCCTAGAATTGGGCAAACTCAGCTACAGAATAGGAAAACTGGGCCCTGCTAGAAGGTGAGAACTACTTTGGTATATCTTCCCCTGCTCACCCCACTCCCAAAATTCCTAAGGATGATGTATGCCACAAGAGGAGAAGCCATGAAATGCTAAACCAGAATTTAGCACTGAGTGGATGAGTTTCTGCAATGATGAATAAACTTTTATTTATTTATTTATTTATTGTATTTATATAGCTGCCCATCTCACACAAAGTGACTCTGGGCAGTGTACAACAATTAAGTTGCAGGTATGGAAGAAATATTTCACTAGGATTCAGTTTTGATATTGCCAGGCTTACATCAGGAATTATGGGTAAAACAAGCTCTGGTTAATTAAGCAAACCTAAGAAATAGTCGAAGGTTTGTAGCTGGATTATTTCACAATTTATTTTAATTCACAGTTCCAGGTTTCTACATATTGACATTCAGAGTCAATCATTCTTGTACACTCTATCTTGGCACAACAGAAAATAAATAAGAGTGGACTAAACCACAATACAATCTGTTGGCTTGTGGCTTAGCATGTTTTAGGAATCCAGCCATTATTTTTATCAACCATAGTTTAAAATTTGATGTGTTGAACCCAGCCAGTTGTAGCTGATTCTACCAGCCATCATTAACCCAATGATTAGTTAGCACAATTGGTTAGCACAATATGTGAAGTAGATGTATGTTGAGTATATGTTGAGCTCTGGTGCATCCATATTTGAGGATATAGAAGCAACTCTCTGTAAATCTGCTGCACATCAGCCTATTTGCTTTCTTGGAGTGTAAAGCTGAAGGCATCCATCTCTATGGTCAACAGAGGAGACTTCCACTCAAGCCTTCAGAGCTCCAAAATCAGTCCTGAACCTCTTTGTTCTTTTAGTAAGGTCTGTATTCAGCAACTGTCCTCATTTCTAGCTCTGCTGCACTATATCCAGGATCAATCCCAAAGCAATCTTTCCCCTTGCAACAATGAAACTCTGCAGGGCTTTGGGTCTGTTTTATGTTCTCATTGGTGGGAAGCTTCCTCAGTTTCTGCCTCTGAAGCATTCCCTTCCCAGGTCTTTAGAGAACCTTTGAGAGCTTCTCGGTCCATCCCCCATTTCCCCCCACCCCACACACAATCACTTAGAGTAGTTTTCACATGCAGTCAAACAAATGCATTCCACCACATGCTAATTCTACTACAAAATACCGGTACGGATTGATCTGGCTTGTTTCCATTTTGCAGATCCACACAACTATTCTCAAGAGGGGCTAGGGTGAAATTGATCAGAATTCTATCTCCCCTCTCTGCAGGGGCCATCTGGCTGCAAAACACCAGGCTCCTGCTTGGGTTTAACTCAATGACAGTGTGAAGTTGAGAAGGTTAGCAGTATCTTTTTCTTCTCTCTCTCTCCTGTGTGTGGCAGGGAAGAATGAAGGGACGTTTCCTGCTTTGGGACTGTCTTCCCCAGAAAAACAGTAGCTTTCTGGCTTTTAAATGCGAGAGAGAAATGGTGACTTGTGGACTTTGTAGCTACCTTTTTATAGCAAATGCTTTTGTTTGTTTTTTGCAAAAGGTCAGACAAATGCAGACAATATGTTCTGGAAATGCACCATATATTTGTTTGTTTGTTTGTTTTGCATGGGAGGGGGCGTGAGCAGATTTTTGTTGCTCCAAGGACCTACAGTGCCTTTGGAGAGAGTACTGATTGAATGGGGTTTTTTGCACTTACCTATTGAACAGCTAGAAA